AATGGAGCATCTGTTGGTTACACAGTGCTGCAAGCTGACCTCTCAGAGGTCAAGGACGGGAAGAACCATCTTCACCGTCACCTCATTTATCCGTTACTGTGAGGAGCCGGGAAACCACCGCCGCCACCGCCAGCTCCTCTGTCTGTCTATCCGTCACTATGAGAAGAAGGACGAGACATCGTTCCTCGTCTATCGACCGTCTCTGGATCCCGTATCTCGTCTACCGACCGTCTCCGATTCCCGTCTCTCGATCGTCTTTCTCCCGAGATCACAGACCGACTCGGTCAGCGTGTGCCCATGTCCGACAGATGCGGCTGCGACAACAGGCTGTGTTTGACCGAGAGCAACACTGACCGCAAACACGGGGTCCGTACACGGTCCGAGATCGGATGGCGACGCTAGCGAAGGCCGCTGGACGAAGACGGGGGACGGGGACGGGGAGGCGTCCAAGGCATGCCGGGGCGATATGTGTTGCGACGGAGGTATTGTCTCGGCGACATATCAGGCCGCGACCCAGACGGAATACGCGGAAAACGTCGTCTTATTGGAGAGAAACGGTCAAAGGGATGAATGGAGCACCTTTGTCCGGTATCCTGGGAACGAGGTCGGGACGAAAATGTCTGTGGCATGACATAGTCATATCATTGTCATACCATGTCAAGTTATCGCCATGTCATGACTTTTTGCCGACATGGTGCTAGCTTTTCAGTCAACATATCGTTCTTGTCAAAAGGTGTTGATATATTGTGAAATATGTGGAAAATATGGTATCGTCTATTGGAAACTTCGTCTTATAATGGATGTGCAATAATCAATTAACGCATAAAAACTGGCATAACAAAAACTGATACCCGACAAAGACATGCTGTCACCACAATCGCCAAGAGCGTCTTTCACAAGCCTACTGACAACTGCCGTTTTCGGAGCTGGTCAAAAACGCTACCTGTCGCACACCACAACGGCGCCAAACAATGGCCTGTCCAGAGGGCTGCTTCCCAGGGAACTGACAGGCGAATCGCCACTGTCAAAACCTGTCAAAGCCTGCCTGTCGGTCTGTTGGAGCGATTGAAAACGCACACCCGCCCCTATCTCCCTCCCTCATTAGACACCACCCGAAGCTCACCGACGCTCGGATAACACAGGTATCATAACAAGGCGCAGCAAAAACGGACACATCCGAGCGCTGTGACAAATAACCAGCGCTGAGCCTTCATCATCGCGGCCGGGACTAATGACGGGCACGCGCCGCCACCGTCTGGGTGGCCGCTTTTTACGGCGACTAATGGACCCGTCCCTGACGTCCCTGACGTTCCTGGTCACGGCGCGGCGGTCCCTCATCACCGTCCGTCCGCGCTACCGCACTGCACATCATCCCTCGTCGATGAGGGACAGCAGGGTAGGGGATGAAGGTCTCTGAGAAACGGACGCATCCCGCCGCCGGTCGTCGTTGGGAGCGACGCTGGCCCGTTGGGAGCGACGCTGGTCCGTCGGGAGCGACGCTGCAGAGGCGGCCGTCGGTCGGGGAGGGGAGGAGACGGGAGGGGAGGGGAGGGGTATTAATGAGGCGGGTCCCCACCGAGTCTGGTTGGCGAGGCGGTGACGGCGGCCGGCGGCGGCGGGTCGAGAGTCGTGGAATGTGATCGGAGCTGTGTGGCGGCGTCGATACGACGCGCGCCGAACCACCGCGCCGGGGCGGAGGGGAAGGGGACGTTAGGGAGGGACAGTACGGGCCAGATCAGAGTCTATGGGGTCCAGACGGAATACAGACGACACCAAACTACAGTTAGGGGTGCAGGGGAGACGCCAGAGTACATAGTTAAGACGACTTAATTGAGTTTACGACGCATTCGACCAACGAGCCCCGAGAATTAAAGGTCCAACAAACAAACAACATAGCATCTCTGCGGAGAAATAAAAAAGATCTTCAGTGTGGGACCGGAAATGAAACAACCGCCAGCAAGACATCATAGCCGCATTTGCTACATAAAGCCGGTATGTCGAATAAGCTCACATAGGTACCAGCTATGTATGAGCCGCTTTATTAAAAAATGAAATTAGTTGGACGGAATTTACCGCCATGCCATTCGGCCAAGGTCACAGGAATAATCCGACTAATGAAGAATTACCTTACATTCAGACATCAGCTTAACCCTATTCCTGGCGGGGGGGGGGGGCCTCAGGAGCCCCCCCCCTGAGGTTTTTTGGTTATTTCTCCCAAACGCGTTGAGCTAGGAAGCTCAAATTTTCTGACTTTTCCTAAAAGGCTTCTACGCAACATGTCTGAAAATTTTGAGTTGATCTGACCTCAGGTCAGGTCACCAGAGGCGGTTTGGTGACCCTACCTCAGAAAAGTTTGCAATCACGCCAGAGCTAGAGTTTTTGACCGATCAATTTCTTCTCTTCAGGCTTTAGTTAGGGTACCAGTATGTGCAATTTTTATATCTCGGAATTTTGATATCGGTGACCTAAGGTCAGGTCAGTTTCGCGACCTCCCCATTATAAGTCAATGGGGGAAAAATCAACTCCCTGTTTTTACCACTAAAACGGGTCGGAATGGCCCCATATACCATACATGACTTCATATACGATCAACCTTCACTACCTTGAGGTCTGTTTTGCTGTTGGGCAGCTGTGAGGTCATGTGACGTCATCAAAGGTCACCAAAGGTTTTTGGCCAATAACTCCGTACAGGAACAAGATACAGACGCGTGGATGGTCTCATTGTGTTCAGCTCGTCAAGACGCATCGAATGATATACATGATGACCTCGAGGTCACGTGACCTGAGGTCAACCTTTGACCTTGACCTTGCGAGGTCAACATATATATCATTCGATGCGGATTGACGAGAGGATCACGATGATGCCCTTAGTTTGTTCCTATCTTGACTAATTCGAAAGTTATTCGAGAAAAACTCTCTCCATATCTAGCGCCGCCATTTTGACTTTTTCGACCCCTGTGACGTCATCTTTGACCTGACCTGAAAATGACCTTAGTAAAAATTGTAGATCTTGACCGTGCGTATCCGATGCCGTTTACCGTTTGTCGCTATCTTGCTTCGTTCTCGAGATCTCAGGGGGGGGCCGAATCGGCCCCCCCCCGCCAGTTTCTTGTCCCGGCGGAGCCCGCCAGGAATAGGGTTAAGTTCGCAGTTGATTGACTGTATGAAAGACTTGCATAAATACTTGGAGTAGTCAGGAGGGTTACGGATGATTAAATAACAATGGGAATCGGGAACTTAGTTATTCGTACCTGTAGCATTTCACGGATAGCGGATAAAACAGTCAAGCTACACCTGCCGTACGAATGGACATTGCACTTATCTTTCACATATTACCAATGTTCAAACTTCAGAAGCAAAGCCGGCGCAACGATCAGTTTAGCTGAGAACTAATATTCGTTAGACTCTATCTTCTGTCAGTGCCAAAAATATGCCGATTCATTCACGGCCTTCCACGGTCGCCGCCCTCCTTCACGGTCACAGGAATCATCACAAATCCGTGACGATGGGATCGTGACAGAGCCGTGACGGTGCCCCCGTCACGGCTGGCTTCTGCCGCTGCACCGGGATTTAATAACGTGACACAAGACACCGCGCACCGGCCCGGCGGGCGTCCACACAGTTCAGCGGACATTCACACCCACAGATTCAGTGTCGCTGTGGTTTTCAGGGCACAACTGTATGTTTGTGTGCGTGTCTGTGTGTTTGTTTGCGTGTCTGCGGGCAGGTTCTGGTTGCCCACTGGATACGGTAGCAGCCAGCAGCCGGTTTCCCAGCGAGACCGCGAATATGTGCCACGAAAGCGGTATGAAAACACGTCAAACGATACGACAGCATTTGCCACATGTGTAGTGTAGTGAACTATGGTTCACGCCTCCCCCCACCTGTGGCCTGAGTGCGCCGCTGCGCCTCCCTTATCGGCCGTCCCTGTGTCCGTCCCTGCGCGGTGTCCGTCCCTGCGTGTCGCGGCGCATGTGCCTCGGGCGGTTTTGTGTGGCCTGGCGGGGCGGCCGGTCGGGCGGCCGCGCGGCAGTCGGCAGCTGGACCCAATACAGCAAGGAGCTCGGCACGGACTTTACACTGGCGACGAGGATGAGATCAGAGATTGGAGTCGGAGACGAGAGGATGCAGCGGCGTCTTCTCTCGGAGAAGAGCCTGGACTTCAGCAACGCCGTGAGAATCTGCCTGGCTCTGGAGACGTCGACCAAGGACGCCCACCTCATGTCTCATAACGGTGAGAGGGCCGAGCCTGTACAGGCAGTGAGTGCAGGTTCTCGTAGGGAGCAGCAGGCCCATCCGCAGTGTTGGCGGTGTACTGGAGACAATCACAGCGCTGATGTTTGTCGCTTCCGTAACTCCAAATGCTACAACTGTCACGGACTTGGACACGTGTCCAAGGCCTGTCCAAAGCCCCGCCGCACAGGAGCAGGTCGAGGCAGGCCCCCAGCCGGCCGCGGCAGGGGTCGTCGGCAGGTGACGAACGCCGTCAGCGCTTCAGACACCGAGGACTGGGACAATTGGCCCGATGAAGACGCCGGGAACGTCCAGCAGGTGGCGGCTACCAGCAGCGACAGCCCACAATCTGCAAGCGTCCTCCAGGTGAGTTCTCCGCCACTTCGCTGTTCTGTTTACTTTCAGCGAACGCAAGTAGACATGGAAATAGACACCGGCTCGGGTAACACTCTGATAGGAGAGGACACATACAAATCTCTACGGATACGTCCCAGGTTGAAACCCAGCGCTCTCAGGTTGAGAACGTACACAGGAGATGTGATTTCAGTCCTGGGGGAATTCAGAACTGCAGACGCTGGATGAGATGTCAGGATCCCAAACCGTCCGTACTGGTCAGTCGTTTCAAGTTCGGAACATGTAATCGCCGTCCGGGTCAGGCTGTTGCTGACTATGTTGCTGCTCTCAGGAAAGCGTCTGAACATTGCTGCTTTGAGGACACTCTGGAGGACAGGTTGTTGGAGCAGCTGGTGACTGAGCCGTTTTGGCTCAGAGGGAAGCTGATGGGACTGAGAAGCCAGTGGGATTCGTTTCTAGAAGTCTGTCCCCATGTGAACGCAAATATTCTCAGATAGAGAGGGAAGCACTGGCAATCGTTTTCGGGGTTACCAAGTTTCACGCGTACCTGGCCGGTAACATGTTCTCGCTGGTCACCGACCATAAACCTCTGGTGATGTTGTTCGGTGAACATGCTGACCTACCTGAGATGGCGTCTTCCAGAATCCGGAGGTGGGCGTTGAAGCTCTCGACGTACCGATACGAGATTCAGTACCGGCGGACTGAAGAGATGGGCAATGCTGATGCCCTCAGCCGCTGTCCTCTGCCTGACTCGAACTCTTCGCAGGAGGAGGATCTGGTGCTCCTGGTCGATGATCAACAGCTGTTTGACGCCAGGAAGGTAGCCCTCCTGACGTCTCGTGACCCGGTGCTGTCTCGGGTAATGCGTCTTGTCCAGAGGGGTGGCTGGCCGCAGGTTACAAATGCAGACCTGTCACCTTTTGCCTCGAAGCGTCTGGAGTTGTCTGTTTGTCGTGGAGTGCTGATGTGGGGTCACCGTGTCGTCGTTCCCAGCAGGGCACGTGAAGCAGTCTTGAAGGAGCTGCATGTGGCGCACCCTGGCATCCGCCGCATGAAGGCTCTGGCGAGAGGCTGTGTCTGGTGGCCTCAACTGGACCAGCATATTGAGCACATCGTGAACTCCTGTCAAGCCTGCCAGGAAAGCCGACCTGCACCGGGACGTTCTCCAATCTGCATGTGGCCGTGGCCTGAGCGGGCATGGTCGAGGATCCACGTGGACTTCGCTGAGCCGAAGAAGGGAAGGTACGTCCTGATCGTGGTGGATGCTTATTCCAAGTGGGTGGAGGCAGAGTGTTGTACCAGTGTCTCCTCCCAGACGACTATAGCCAAACTGAGACAGATGTTTTCAAGGTGGGGGCTACCGGACGTAATCGTAACTGATAACGCTACATCGTTCACGTCATCAGATTTTGAGGAGTTCGTGCGCCAGAACGGCATTCATCATAAGACCATAGAACCTCGCCATAGTCAGGGGAATGGACTAGCTGAACGTGCTGTACAAGATGTCAAACTAGCGTTGCAGAGGTCGAACAGTGACTGGGAGACTACGCTATCACGATGGTTGCTTTGCCAGCGTATCACCCCGCACAGCACAACTTCCGTAGCCCCCTCAGAGCTGATGGTGGGGCGTGTCCTCCGAAGTCGCCTGGACCTTCTGCACCCGGACCTGCGAACTGAGGTGAAGAAACAACAGGTGATCCAAAAGGAAAACCACGATGCTAAGGTGAGCACTGGCAGGAGACTGGATGTGGCTGACCTGGTGTTTGCAAGGAACTATGGTGTTGGCTCGAAGTGGGTTGCTGGTGTTGTCGTCGGAGTGGATGGACCTGTGTCTTACGCTGTGGAGACTGAAGATGGTAGGCTGTGGAGACGACATATCGATCAGCTTCGGCATAGGTCTGACGGCGAACTGTTTGCAGGACGTTCTGCGCTGACTTCGGAGCCCGGTGACATTCCTGCGGAAGGAGGGCAGCCATCTCGGAATCCGACGGCGGCGCTGCAGCCGTCTCGTCCGGGGGAGTCTGGCTTGGACGCGTCGCTGCCGCCGTTCAGCACACCTGGAGCGGCGCCTAGCGCTCCAGCAGCATCGCCATCGTCTTCGGCGCCTGCTCCGTCGGAGCCCCGGCCTGAGGCATCAGAGCTCGAGCCCGCGTGTGTCGCCGGCGACGCTGGTGCACGGACGGAAACCCCACTGCGTTCGGGGCTCGGAGTGGAGGCTGGTGCAGGTGTACAGTCTCGTGTGTTGGACGAGGGTGGTGGTGTTCGTCGCGGAACTAGAGTGAGAAAGCAGACTAAGTTTTTTGGTTCCTAGCTCTGTTCATATTACTTGTGTTTTGTGAGGGGGCAGTGTAGTGAACTATGGTTCACGCCTCCCCCCACCTGTGGCCTGAGTGCGCCGCTGCGCCTCCCTTATCGGCCGTCCCTGTGTCCGTCCCTGCGCGGTGTCCGTCCCTGCGTGTCGCGGCGCATGTGCCTCGGGCGGTTTTGTGTGGCCTGGCGCGGCGGCCGGTCGGGCGGCCGCGCGGCAGTCGGCAGCTGGACCCAATACAGCAAGGAGCTCGGCACGGACTTTACAGTAGAACTCGACACAAGTGCGGTTTTATGAGAGCTAACGGTGGGGCTAACGGCTTTATTATGCATTTAATACTGGCGTTGCTGCCTGTACACAGCTTTAGGTAGAAGCCCCGGAAATCCTGGGGATATATTCGGACAGTAAATAAGATCGATGGACATTGTGATAAATTGTATATCAGCATCAACCTTTCCAGCAAAGGGACAAAAAATGTCTGAGTGACAGCCAACGGATGTGAGAAGCAAAGTATTGACGATAATTGGACAAGGAACTGAGAACGATAAAAACACCGATCAAATCATATGTTCGATTGATAATTTCACACTCAGAACGATAAAAGCACCGATCAAATTACATGGTCGATTGATAATCACTGGCCAGTTGAGACAATCGTGAAGAATTGCATCAGGACAGGCAGGCGCATTTCACAAATTCCACATACCAGATAGCTGTTGACGTCAGCAACACGACAACAACGGTGAACAGCTCTGTCGGAAATATCTTGTAAATGTTGGCTTTGCAGGATGGTGGCTTTGTGCCAAAATAGCTGTAAGCTCATGTGATTTAATCAAACATTCAGGTGAGGAAGTGGTTCGTATACCACTTTCTGGCACGTTACGCTCACGTTTTGACCTACCGAGTACCTATACCGGATATTTTTCACCGGCAGGGCAGACCATCACGGCAAGTAAAGAACCCCCGACACCCGCAGTTCGGGCTCAGGTGCCGTTTTTGAAGAAACTGAGGCTCGAGGGACCAAAAGAGCTCGCCAAAATAGCAGCGTTCCCAAGAGCCGTGCGTCAGCTGGAGGAACTCAAACCTCTAAAACAAACATACCGGCGGCAAAGCGCGCACAGAAATACCTGCCTGAAACAGTCGAGCTAAATTCAGATCCGATGCTTCATGCTCATGCTGATGTCCAAATAAATTAACCTGATCTTAGCTACTGAGCGCAATCGATCCCTCACTTTATGTTCGAGAAATATTTATTAGGCTGTGAGTAACTGATAAATCGTCAAAACGTGCTCTTGACGGTAAAGCGAGACCGGTAACCGCACCGTGCCGAACAGTTATCCACCGGGCCATCTGCTGTTCTGTTCAGCGAGCCCCGTCTGTCGGCTGTGGTTTCTGGTCTGCCAATCATTACACTGTGTCTATTGGCGAGCGGCAGACACCGGAATCCGTCAACAGTAAACAAACCAGCATCAATCATCGAGCACCGAACATCAGCTCAAACCGCAGATGGAATTAGCCACCACACACTACCGTAAACAATGTGGCTCCTTCTAACAAAACACGACGAACAGACTTCGTAGAAACACGGACCTTTGAGAATTCGGCTAGGCACACAACCAAGCCAACTTCAATAAAAGGATATGAGTGTTTTAGTGTGAGCTCACGTGCACTGACTGAAATCAAATCAGCGTCGCATTCGCACTAAATTGAGAAGTGCAAATAAAACACACCTTTCTTGAGCTGCCCACAGAGTTCAGTTTGCTTAGTTTTTACATTTCAGAGCCCACAGACAGAGACAGACCACAAACCTCCAGTTCCGGAGTTCTGGCGTGAGCTCAGCAGCACGGAGCGGTCACCGCCCGGAGCATTAGACGCTTCTAATGACGGCACGGACGACCACACCGCCCGGCCACGCACCGTTACCGGTGTGGAACCACAAAACGGACGGTGCCGAGGATGGTGGGTAGGCTGAGCGGACAGGCAGCGGTGGGGTTGGATAGGAAAACAACTGGGCGGGGATGACATGCGATCACGCTCTACTATCACTATGGAAACTTGGCTATGGAAACACTTTTTGAGGACATGGGCAAATTACAACATTGCACGGATCTCAAGGACAAATATCCATCTATGAATTCACGGTTGTTTTTTATTTGAGCTGGTCCCACAGCGACTAAGCCACCTTAAAAAATATTGATGAAAGGCAATGATGCAACGTGCTGTCAGACACATAAAGGGCTTAACCTAGCACCCTGAAATGTTTCTGAAAGCATGAATGCACAAATTAGCCTTGAAAGTTACCGTGCGAGGCATAACATCCGATGCATGCTGCACATTTTACGCCGGAACACCGAAGTCAAAAGTGTAAGCAAATATATTCATAGGCTTTGAAGGTATGTTGATTTGTGGAAACCCTTTGATGATCTCGTCAAAAAGAAATAATCATGCCACTCCAGGATTGGCGGATACAACGTGATGTGAACACAACATCGGGCTGCCCGATGTCAAAGCCTCAGACACTGTCATTCTTCCACAGCCCAACCCTCACTATCGCTAACCAGGATCTCTCAGACACATGTATCCGAATGCTGAATGTTTAAGTTAATCCTTATCCATAAATCATTCAGCAGATCAATTCGAATGGATGGCTTGCAGACTACCCTGTCCTTTGAACCTACCCTTTGCCGGCTGGGTCGCCGCTTCCGCCGGAGGTAGCGACATATGAATAACAAGAAAGATCATCGTGCGATGTCCTCTTGCCAAACGACATTGTCAGGAGCCATAAAGCATAACAAACTGCGGCTATGGGGTGACCGGTATGCAGAACAGCCCGATATTACCGAGACGGCTTGTTTACTAATTCAGCGCTCGCGAGAACATTTTGCAATCGAACTGACCTTCAAATAGAGGACCTGACTCTGAACTGAGCGACTGACCTGCCCTATCTAGATCAAGGCCTGATCTGCCTAACCACATCGGACGCGCCATGCAAGGCTTGAAGATACCAGGCTGGCTAGATCCGACCCAACTCAACTGCCTTATCCAGTCCACACCACGGCGAAAACGAACCTTTCCTGTTTTGATCATCGTTGCCTTTCGCTTTCCCAACCTCTCATCACCAAGCCCTCATGATTCCCTCCCATCGCCACCCAGCTTCTCCCCTGCCCCACTCGAGGACTCACTTGGCGTTAAAGCTGGCCAGGACGGAATACCGCGGCACTGCTGTGTCCGCTGTGGAGGGCGGCTGGGGCGGTGGCGGCGGCCGCTCCACGCACACGTGTGCCGTCTCGTAGAACCACGCCTCGAGAACGGTGGCCATTTGGTGGTAGGAGCGACAGCGGAGCCGCACGGGGTCGTGGCCGCAGCTCACCACCGACTCAACACCTGACGGGGGGAGGGGGGGTGACAGGTCAGGGTGGAAACAGTGGCAGGTCACTTGTGTCAGGGCACTAGGCAGTGGGCACTAGGCTGTGACAGTTTAAAATCAGGGCAATGGCAATTCAAGGACAAATGAAGTGATACCTAGGTCAGTGTCAGACCTAGTGGGCAGGTCAGTGTCGAGTGGTGACAGGTCAGTGCCAGGGGAAGTGACAGTTGGCGAGATCGATGACAGTGCAGTTCAGGTTCAGAGTCAGTGAGAGGTATCTAACTAGGACAAGACCGCATGGGGTCAGCTATTGGGTCGCGCTTCGTAAATGGAATTCGTTCCTCTAAGGGTAATACAACCAACATCAGTGCAACAGAAAGACTGCAGTTTATCCTGCACTGAGCCACTGACTACGCACAGCTAGCAACGGGTCCTATTAAAACACCGTTTCTTCAGAACCAGTACAGTACCCAAGTGAGACGGCTACTTCATAGAAGCAAGCAGTTCAATAACAGTGAAGCACCAGTGAAGTCCTGAACTCCGTCTGGCCCCTCTGGGCATATGACAATGTACCGGAGGGAGCAATTAGTGTCTCTGTCTGTCTGGGAATGCATCCATCTGTTGTAACTTCCTAATCTGTCTAGGAGTACAACCCTTCAGCGGCGGTACCCTGGGGCAGCGCCGGCGGCTACGGCAGACGACGCACTACCGGCGTCGTGCCGGACATTCTCCCACACAGCCTGGGAACGGTAACCACGGCGACTCACCGCGACTCAGTGGCTCATAACGTATCCCAATGACTCGCCGTGACACCCATCAGCTCACACTGACAGACTGAAGCAGCCACATTCAACTCACAGCAACTTAGTGACCATACAGCGACTCACACAGCGACTCTCCGAGAGACAGTGGCTTACAGTAACGCGCAATTACTTTTCATGCCAATTTGGCGACTCACAGCGACTCCAACCAATTCACAGTGAGCTACAGAAAACACTCGGCGTCACCACACAGCTGCGAATACGGTGGCACGGGAGTCGGGACAGATGGACCGGCGCAAGGTGGCGACTGGCGACGGTTCATTTCGCCTCTTCCTGTCCTGCGACACACACCAAGTCTAACCAAAAAAAAAAACCGCAGAACTTACTCAAGAAAACAAGCAAATACCAATTCTTCTCACGCCCCATGAGTTGAAATTAATTTCTAGTAGGTATTGCAATTGCAAGTGCAACAAAAAGTATGGAATGATTTGTTAGCGAACGAAGAGAATGGCGCCATATCGATATTCACTTGACACCGATTACAGGAAAAATAAAGTTCGTCGAGTGAGTTCGTGCGATAAACAAACGAAATTAAAAAAATAACAGTATCTACTATCTTACCGGGTTCATCTTCGTCGATATCCTTCGGGAGCGTGCAGCGCGCCAAAAGCCAAAGCGCCGCCACTGTCAACAATCGCATAGTCACGCACTTCGTGCATCTTGCATCACACACGCCTCATCGATCCGATCGGACGCACAGCGCCCATCCACCCCTCGCCGCTCGAGCACGACTGACTCCGCCTTCTGCTGCGGCTCGCGTCGGTAACGGCGCGGGAGCGCATCGCCAAACGACGACCTGTAGCTGTAGCGCCATTTGGCGGAGTGCCTGCCATCTAGCGGGCGTAAGTAAAACTGATAGTTGTAGGCATTGTTATAAGGGTACGCTAGCTACCAGTGCAGAGACGCGGTAACCGGACAGAAGATCGTAAAGCAAAAGATCGTAAGGCAGAAGATTGTAGGAAATTGATCGTATGCAAAAGATCGCAATGGACAAAGATCGTACGTCATAATGCTCGTATTGACAAAAGAACGTATTCGCTATAAGATCGTCAAGGAAAATGATCGTATGGCAAAAAGTCGTTATGGTATAAAGATCGTACGGCATAATGATCGTATGGACAAAAGATCGTGGGTGCAATCAGTGAAAATGATCGTATGTCAAAAGACCATATATGATAAAGATCGTACAATGTAATGTTCGTATGGACGAAAGATCGTATACGCAAAAGATCGTCAAAGTAAATGATCGTACGCCAAATGATCGTATAAGATAAAGATCATACAATCAAAATAAAGTATTCATATGGTGCGATCTACACGATCTTTATCTTACGATCATTTTCCTACGATATTTTTCCATAGGATCTTTTGTCTTCGATCTTTTGTCACGCAACCAGAGTCGCAGACTGCCGCGACCGGCGCCACGGGGGGGGGGGGGGCATGATTAACCTACCTCACCCCGGCATTAGTTGAAAATTGCATTACTACATATAACGCGTATGCACCTGCCTAGTGCCTACAGTAGGAGAGATAAGATAACGCAACAACACTGTCGGAGGTAAGACCAGCGCAAAGGATGTGTCACCTTTTGTGTGAAAGTATACCTAAATTTGGTGAATCTTATATAGGGAACACCGACGCCCGTCGGTCCCCGGGTAACAACGGGCGTCGGTGTTACCCATATAAGATTCGCCAAACATATTTTTGTATGTGCCCAGCGGAAAAGGGGACGATGTGCTAGTGGAATAGCTGTCTCTTTATTGTTGCTGTTGAGGGCGAAAAAGTTGTTTCTCCTGCTCACAGCGAAAGCTGAAACATTGAGACACTCAACACCGAAAAAGGGCTCACATAAAAAGTTACAAAACCACAGTGCCCCAATTTTTAATCGCACGTTCATGCTCTGGGGTTTTCATCTGGCGATTGGCTTTCGCTGGTGTTCCTCGTCGCGAGCACTTTCTCTCATAGAGCATTCACGCTGCCTGGCCACAACTTGGAGACCCGTTTACGCTGTATGTAGTAGTGCGCGGTCGACCGGTGACTCCGGCTGGTAAACCGGTCAGGTAAAACTCGGCGCTGATAGAGCGGCGGCCATGGCACGCTTTCATACAGATGTTCTTAGTTTCTATGTTTTGATTTCTATGTTTTCTATGTTTTGATGTTTTGATTTGATGTTATTGTTTTGTAAGGAGCATGATTCTTATTTTCAGTCTCTTGGTGTTCTGCTTGTTAGTAGCGTCGCAGTCTCTATGCTTTGTTTCTGTACAGCGTTGCACTTGGCCGTTGCAGTCTCTCTGTGTGTTCCTTAGCAGCGTTGCAGTCTCTTCGTGTTATCCTTGCTGGCAGCAGTAGCGTTGCGGTCTCTTTACGTTGTGTTTCTGGGCAGCGTTGCAGTCTTTTTATGTTATGCTTCTTATCAGTGCTGCAGTCTCATTTGGTTACATTTCTCAGCAGCGTTGTCGTCTCTTTTTGTTACGTTTCTAAGCGGCGTTGCAGTCTCTGTAGTTATATGATTGATTGCTGTGATGAGCATTGTTAGTATTATACCTGTAGTGATGATGAAAATATGAAAATCGATTAAGTATGAGCAAAGCTTAGGTTATCATCATTCTGTGGTTTTGTCATTTAGCAGCACTGCAGTCTCATTCTTATCAGTGCTGCAGTCATGGGTGGAGAACCTGCCCCGGCCACCCCGGCCGTGGCCGGGGTAACTTTCAGTCTACCCCGGCGCGGCCGGGGTAACTTTTCCACTCTTGGCTGCAGTCTCATTTTGTTGCATTTTTCAGCAGCGTTACAGTCTCTTGGTGTTATGTTTCTTTGCGGCGCTGCAGTCTCTGTGTGTTATGTTTCTCAGCGGCGTTGCAGTCTTTGTGGTTATGTGCCTTAGCAGCATTGCAGTCTCTTTTTGTTTATATATGTTACGGGTCATATGCTAACTTGGGCAGTATGCAAACTGCCCGGGCAGTATGCATACTACCCAACAGCCCGGGCAGTATGCATACCGCCCGGGTAGTGTGCATACTACCCGACCCCTTGGGCAGTATGCATACCGCCCGGGCAGTATGCATACCTCCCGGGTATTATGCATACCACCCACCTTTCTTCTCACGGGCAAGATGCTTACTCGGGCAGTATGTTGACTACACTTCGTGAGGCTTGTTAATACAATAACTCGCGTATATATGTGAAGGACAAACGTTTTAACCTTCCAGGTGGTGGGGGGGGGGGAAAATTTTTTGTCCCCCTTAGTTTTTTTTTCGATATATCTCCAGAACCGCTGCGCCGATCGCCAACAAACTTTTAGTACCCTCCCGGGATCGTAGCTATTACACATTGTGACCATTTTTTTTCCAAAGGCTATGATATGTTGGCCGCTTATGACGTCGGAGTGACGTCAGTTCTGCCATTTTCGACCCAAAAAAGGTTTCGCGGGAAGAGCTGTCAGGCCTACAGCTTTAGAGATACAGAAAAATGTTTGAGAAATAAAAGGTATGGAATTAGAGGGCCCTAGAAAACTGCTATTTCGGATTTTTAAATTTTTTGATTTTGACCCCCAAAATCAAAAAAGTAATTTTTTGAATATAATAGGCAAAAAAATCCAAAAAGTTCTTTTTTGAATATAATAGCCAAAAAAATCCAAAAAGTTCTTTTTTGAATTTCGAAAAAACTGAAATCTTACCGACTCCGACTCCGCAATCGGAGTTAACGCTGCATGGCTCAACGTCATACCCTGCGGCCTGCACCTGTTTGCTTGGCAACACTACGCTCGTTGATTATTTCGTTGACGAAATAAATCAGATTTTGTTAAAAAAGGTCAAATTTTTGTTTTGGACGAGCGTTTTCGGCGAGAGATACGAAGACGGCGGATTCGCCAAAACCTACTTTTAATTCTGCATGTTATTTATAAAGCATATTTGCAATGTAAGGCCTTAGAACTCAAAAAGATCGTTTCAGGCAAAATAAAAACACATCCACTTGGAACTTCATTTATCAAATGGATTTTGAGAGAAACATCCGGAGTCTGAGCTGGAGTCGGAGTCGGAGTCGGAGTCGATTTTAAGCTGGAGTCGGAGTCTGAGTCTGAGTCATCAAAATATCCATCGACTCCGCAGCCCTGGTAATAACGCCCTCTACGGTCAATGTGCCAAACCTAACCCATGCCATCAAATGCCGACACTATGTCGTCGTTTCATTTCACTCAGTTCACGCTTCACAATGACAATGGCTTTTTGGCCACTGGTTATTCATTATTAAACATTATTGGATTTGGGAAAAAAGTAATTTAACACTTTATTCCAATCCTCATTCCATCCTACGATCGATCAATCACGTTTTACGGCAAAAATTCTTCTCGGTTGATCTACTCGTATTGTTATCTAGAGAGCCATTTATAATCTTAAAATGTGGACATGGATTACACAACCTTATGTCGGAAAGCGGGCAGTATGCAAACTGCCCAAGCTTTTGGGCGGTATGCATACTGCCCAAGGGGTCGGGTAGTATGCATACTACCCGGGCGGTATGCATACTGCCCGGGCTGTTGGGTAGTATGCATACTGCCTGGGTAGTATGCATACTGCCCAAGTTAGCATATGACCCGTAACATATGTTATATATATGTGTTTTAGCAAAAATGCAGTTTTTGTGCTAATATTTATTGGTGACGTTGCAGTCTATGTATGTTATGCTTGCAAGCGTTGCAGTCTCTTTGTGTTGTATTGTTAAAAGCGTTGCAGTCTCTTTAGTTGTTTCTTAGCGCCGTTGCAGTCGCTCGGTGTTATGTTTCTTTGCGACGTTGCAGTCTCTGTGATATTTCTTAGCAACGTTGCAGTCTATGTGTCAATAATGTGTGTTATGCTTGTAAGCGTTGCAGTTTTTGCATTGTATTGTTAACACAGCGTCGCAGTCTCTATATGCTATGTTTGCCAGCAGCGTTGCAGTCTCTTTGTGTTATATTGTTTGCGGCGTTGCAGTCTTTATGATATGTTTCTTAGCGGCGTTGCAGTCTCTTGATGTTGCAACGCTTTGCGGCGTTGCAGTCGCTGTGGTTTTATTTCCTTGTGATGTTGTAGTTTCTTCACGATATGTTTCTTAGCGGCGTTGCAGTCCCTGTGGTTATGTTTCTTAGCGTTATAGTCTCTTTGTGCTTTGTTTCTTAGCGGCGCTGCGGTCTCTGATGTTGGATTTCTTATTAGCGTTATAGTCTCTTTGCATTGTGTAAGTGTGATGATGCCCCCCTGGGGGTCCGGAAGCGGTGGGGAGTATGTTTTCAAAAAAAAAATGTTTAATAAAATTTCTTTCATCGGGGATGTTTTTCTTTCCGAGATGGTTGCCGACCTGCGCCGTGCTCTGGAACAACCTCAGGTGAGTGTTTTCGGCTGGTAGATCCTCAAATGGTTGATTAATGAGTTGATTTTTTTTGCTGTTTGATTTCTCTCTTGTTCAAACGTAATTACACACCCATTTCCAATTGCTGGTCGGTCCGTTGGTTTCAAGCTGACCGATTCCTCTCCGCCACCGTTCCTTGCGCCTGGGGCTCGTCACAAACAATATTTATAATGAGGCTGGCTTGTCGCTTGTCAACATATAGTCTTCACTGCCTAGGATGGTATCTGTCTCATAAGGAATTTAGGACACGGATGTCTCCCCAAAGCATATAATTTTGATGCCTCCCTTGAGGACATAACCTGAAGCCACCATCTGATACCTGATAGCTACCCACCATTCTCTCCCTTTCTAATGCCTATCATCCCAAAGATAATCGAGTACATCCCCATTTAATGTCGCCCTCAATGCTGAGATTAGATCTCCCGCTGGTCCTTACACTATATGACGC